GTTGCTTATCTTTAGTCTAAATTACATATCTATATTTTTAATTTGTCAGACTATAACTTGATAATGAATTTAGTTTTATCATTTGATTAATAATAGATAACTTGAGCTTGGTTTCTTATTCACTATAAAATTGTCTTGTATTATTGAAAACACATGCATCTTAATAGTCCCTCAATTATTTGATGTAAATTCATAAAAATTAAGTATGTGAAAATGCTTGCAAAGCTAAAAATAATTGTAATGAATAATAACTATTTAATTGTAATAGAATTTTTTAAAATGTCTAATTTTTATGATTCTTCTCAGTTGTATCCAATATTATAGTTGAGAAGAATAACTAGATAAATGATAACGCAATGACGTGATTTATTTTATTTTTCTCTAGAGTCTAGACAATTGAAACAAATTGGATTTAAGGATAAACTTGACATTTTAAAATTATTCTCAATGTTGTTTGATAGTAATTGGAATTGTGTATGAATATCTGTTAAAGTAGACTTAAATTTGAAAAGAATTTATCTGCTATCTTGATTTGTTGTTGTTTTTGATATTCACAAATATCATTTTTTAAATATCATAGTATATACTTGTATGTGAAATACATGATGTAATATATTACACTATTGTATGTATTTATGAAAATAATTAAACAGAAAATCTTTATTTAAAACCCTTTTACTAAACTTTAGATTAAAGCATGAAATGTAAATAAAATGTTTTAAGTGCTTAATTTAATTCTGAATTAGTTGCATGAAAATAAAGTATAACTTTACAAAATTTAATATATGAATTGTTTTAAGGAATGTTTTGTATATTTTTCATTAATTTTACACTAATTAAACAGTGTTTTAATAGAAAATGGCAGTGCATGATATAGGCCTAGTATGACTTAGGAGTTAAAAATTTAAATCTTTATCTGCTTTTCTCTAATTATGAATTTTTTTTTCTTCTTTTGACATTACTCTATCTTCTAGCTTCATGGATCTAAAGAGCATAGTAATATAACTTCTTCAGCCCTTGCATCAGGGGTTGGATTGTTAGCAGATGCTGCAGCTTCTTCACTTTCTAGTTCAATAGTAAGTAATTATTTTAGGCATGAAAAATTTGGTAGATTTGAAATGATGCTGAAAATAGTATTTATCATATAATTATTTTACTAATGTTACTAGATCAAAATATTTTGCAAAATCTTGTTGTGAAATCCTTAAGATTTCACAAGAAGATTGTACTAATTTATAACCTATAATCCATTTTCTAATATACTGTCTTTTATAATAGGATGCTGTAAGAGTAGCTACTACTGATGACTTATTGCATTATTAATAAGAGTAACTTATTAAGCAATAATTTAGGATGTCATACTAAAGATATATTTCAGTATAATATGAAAGATGTTTTTATTTTAAAATAATGAATAAATATTTCTTTTATGCTGCTAGATGAAAAGAACTTTTAAATAAGTAATCTTTTTGATTTGTAATTTGTTATTCTAACATTAATGGTAAGTATTTCACTTCCTATTGATGATTTTAGAAACTAAACAATCTAGATTACTTGAATAATTAAAGAAATAGGGAAAAAATGCTTAGTAGTATTCAAATCAATAATCTGTCAATGCAGTAACAAGCATCATCCACTTCCCTACATAAAAGCTGCTTCCAAGCTGATTATCAAATGGAAAACTTTTTGTATAATGTTGCTTACATAGTTGAAATTAGGATGGCTTAGTGTATTGTTTACGTTGCCTTGAAAAATCATATATTTTGAATAACTTGTTGACAGCATGATATCTAAAATGATTATAAAAGCAATCTTTGTTGCAGTTGAACAGGCTTAAGTTGTAGATAGGATAATTGAATCAGCAGCTACATAAGTTGATTGTTCTGAACATACCCATTGTTATGTTCAGAACAATCAGTTATGTTTTTGTTTTTAAAGAATTCTAGTTACTTTTTCAGCTATTTTCAGTCTCATCTGCTACTTGCAACCCTGTAATACTCTATTACTTAGTGCAATTTAATTTTTTTTAACCGACCAGCTTATGTAGACTTCTTGGAATGATATCATATGGACTGACTACTTTACCATTTTGTTTTCATTTCAATGTGTAAATTTTTAAAATTGTTTTTAATGATTCTTTGTTTAAATTCTTTATTTTGCATGCATTTTTTGATTTTAAATTACCTATTGAAAAATGATAAATTTACATTTTATACTTTAAAAACAAATTTTTAAGATAATTTNTCATGATTAATAAAAATAATAAAATTTTACTTAAAATTTAAAATCAGAAGAAATTTAACAAAGTTATAAACCATGGCACTGTGAACGTCTAGTCTGGTGTAGTACACCAATAGTGCTACTTGTTCATAGATAGCGCATATAATTGAATTAGTTCGTATACTGAACAAAAGTCGTATACCGAGCAAATTGTCGCGAAACGAGTCGGCGACGACGTTTTAGGAGCTCCTTTAAACGAATGTTGCTGCAATTTTTTCGCTACGTTATAGGAATTTCCGTTATAGGAACGCACGTTATAGGGGGGTCGACTGTATATTGAATTTTAAGCAAAACAGCATATATTCATTGTTGAAATAATGCTAATTTGAGAATGTCCATGTTTTCTTACATAATTGTTGATTTATTTATTTAATAAATTTGAATATTTAATTTATTTTGGACACTTTGGAATATTTTTTGAAGTTACAAAGAGAATTTACATTCATTTAATTAATCTGTAATGGACTTTACTGATAATTTTTGAAGTAACACTTATAATTTACAAATATAAATTGAATCATGCTAATATTTAAACTTCTTAATGAAAGAATAAAAACCTATTTATACATTAAATTTAAATTGACTTATTAAAATGCAAAAACTAAAAATAATTACATAGAATTTTTAACTCTATATTTTATCTGATTGTTGCAATACATACTTTACAGTAGATTTGTATATTTGTAAATTTGAAATACAGTGGAACCTCGGTATATGACCTTAATCCGTTCCTGATGTTTGGACTTATACTGAATAGGACGTATACCAAACCAACCTTTCCCATAAGAAGTAATGTAAAAATGATTAATCCGTTCTCATGTAAAAAAAAAATGGCTGGCTTTAAACACCTCGCTTTCCTGGCTAGTTCCTGCTTGATTTTTCATGAGATCAGCATGTATCTTTTTAGCTTTCTCGCAAATAATTGCTTCTGATAGGATGTCGCCAGCACACTGTTTTTCAGTTATCCAAGCAAAAGCAATTTCTCAAAATGATCTAATGTCTTCGATCTCTGTTTAGGAATTGATTTAACTCCTTTCCCAATGTTAGCAGATTTAATAATGTCTTTATTTTTCAAGATTGTTGATATAGTCGTTCTCGGAATAAGGTATGCAACAGTTAAAATCTTGAACACACATGCTACCTTCGTATTTCTCAACAATCTCTCTTTTTCAGTTCCATTGTGATTCTAGTCATTTTTTTAGTTTTCTGTTGCTTTTCATTTGCTTTTTTGCAATTCATGATTAATAAAAATAATAAAATTTTACTTAAAATTTAAAATCAGAAGAAATTTAACAAAGTTATAAACCATGGCACTGTGAACGTCTAGTCTGGTGTAGTACACCAATAGTGCTACTTGTTCATAGATAGCGCATATAATTGAATTAGTTCGTATACTGAACAAAAGTCGTATACCGAGCAAAATTTGTTTCGTCCAAACAGGATATATTCTGAATTGGACGTATTTTAAAACAGACGTATACCGAGGTACCACTGTGTATTTGTTACATAATAATATATTAAACTTTATTTTAAAATATGATAATGTGAATGACTAAATCAAAGATTAATTTAATGGAATAATTTATTATGTAAAAACTTCTGATTTTAAAAAATATTAAATTTTGTTATAAATTGTTAAAAGAACAAAAGTGCAGATTTTTCAACCCACTTTTTTTAAGTTTTAAATAATATTTTCAACTACATTGAGTCAAAATGTTGTTGTTAAACATTTCCATTTATAAAGTTTGATTAGATTGTTTCTTTACACATGAGTACTTATTAGACCAATTTACAATGGTGAATTTTTTTTTGTCTTGGTGTAATGTAAACATAATTTAAAATATGTATTATATATACATGCATGTACACATATTGTGTATGTGTGGAACATTTATGCATATATACAGTACATACAAAATAAGCAGTTTTCAAAAATAGACAGATGTCACTCAAGATGTTATGAATTTGTATTATATTGTTTTAATTAAAAAGTTTTTGATGTATAGATTTAATAATTGTTCAGTTATTTAATCTGGAAATAAAAAGAAAATTGCTATAAATTATAAATACAAGGAATACCATGAAACAATGCAAATTGGAGTTGGATAGCCTAAAGTGGTCAGTAGTAGAACTCCCTATGCATGCATGAATACCTGTTTTAAATAATACTTATGTAAAGAAATATAAACATGCTTTTTAGTAATTAGATAAGATAGAAATGAATATTATCGTCATCATTTAATATTAAATCTAAGTTTATTTCTTAAAATCACTACAACAACAACAAAATTATAAATTAGAAAATGTATATCCAATTTATAAATTTTATAATGAACTTACTGTATTTATGATGTAAATTCTATTTAAAAATAAATTAATAATAATGATGACTAAATATATTATTATTTATATTAATAAAATTATCCAAAAATTATTGAAATATTATCATACATAAGCAAAGATTGAAGCAAAAGACCTGAAGTGGTTGGTTTGTTATGATATGATAATGGCAACGAGCTAAATTAGTTTTAAAATGTAAAAATTATATCATAATTATGTAATTTCAATATTAAATTGAAATAATTTTATTTTAATTACAAAAGTCGAATATTGTTATTTAGTATAATAAATTTTTAAATATCTGAAATTACTTCAAAAATGACTTAAAATTCTTATTTAAAAAAAAACATTGTTTTCATTTGAGTAATGTTGTTCAATAGGAAAGGGAAAAAATGGGAGATAATCAAAGACACAATGGGAAGGGAAAAGACAGCAGTGCAGCAGATGCTGCCCTAGCTGTCGGGGTAGAAATATTGACAAATGCTGCTGTATCTTCAATGATAGAATCAAAAGTAAGTATTTTTAGCTTTTTAGAAGATTTCTCTTTATTGCATTTGATCTAAATTCATTTATCAAAGTATTTGTTTCTTTTTGCTCATTGTTAATCTTTTAGATTCATTTCATTTAAGAAATATAGGAACATTTTCATTTCATATAAATTAACATTTTGAAATTATTCATGTTTTTTTCATGAAATTATATTTTAGCCTAAGGATAAAAATGAACAACTGTCTGATTTTGCTGCTGGCATTGGAAAATTAACTGAGGCAGCAGTTGTATCAGCGACTGAACAGAAAGTAAGTGTCCAATGCAGTAGCAAAGTCTTTCCATCTAAACTTGATAGTCCTTAATTTTTAATTAGTTTGATTTTTTAATAGAATTATTAATCATTTTTCCATATTTCATAACTATATATTTCAACAGCAATGATATATCTAGAAGAAAATTTTGAAGTTAGTTAATAAAATATTTAATAAAAGATTTTGGCAATTTTTGAAATTGAACATTTAAATTCTATCTGTGTAATCATTTAAACTATTCATTTTAAGTACACAAATATAATCAACTAGCTCTTATTTATATATATATATATATATATACACACACACAAATATATTTCTTGTTGTTCATTCTTTATATTGGAAGTGCTAATTCAAATTGTTCTTTTGATGAAAACATTTTTCATGCCATAATATTACCTCTGCCAAAATTTCTCTTAGAAAACAATTTTGAAAATTTGTGTAAATCAGGTCAGTATCTATTTAAAACCATATTGGTCATTCAGATTAAACTTTTTTTCATCACTTAAGATGACTTGGGAAGGATTAAATGAATTAGGAAATTAATTGATGAGTAGTTCTTATTAAAATGTGTAGAAAACTTATGATCTTTTTATCACAATTCACGTTCTCAGTTTATTTTTGCTACAGTTTGCTTAATAACATTGTATTGGATGAGATTTTTCAAGTAATTTTGAATTATGACACTTACTTATCTAATCCTTTTCAAAATTTTCTTCTTTATAAAATGCTTCTTTGCAGCATTTTATAAAAGTGAATGCTATCTAGCCATGTTTGAATCATCTGTACCTCATGGCATTAGTATATAATGAAGATTTTGCCAGTTTTGAGCTTTATATTGAGCTTGGCCATTTAGCAATGACATGCAAATGACATCATATTCGAATGCATAATACATACTTTTTTTTAGACTGTAATTTTAGGTGTCAGCATTTTTATATTAAATTTTTAATAAAAAATACTTTGGAACCAATTATTTGCTATTTTTATAATTAAAATGTTATGAATGTAATTACTGTATTAGCAAATTGTATTTAATGTTCCCAAGGCTAAGAAAGTGATGATCTTGAAACTATTATACTTGTGAGACATCACCTGTGATAATTGTAAATTTGTCATATTTACAATGGCCTTTTAATGTATTTTTATAATTTTACAATTTTTGTTTGATTTTATAAATTATAAAATTATATATTTTTAAGAACACCAACTGAAGAGGGATGTATTGAGTCTAAAATACATGTTGAGTGCTCTGTATTATGTAATTGTCAAAAACAGCCATAACTTATTGTAGAGTTTTTAATAAGTTGTTAAATAATCATTAAAGATTTTGCAATTTAATCTCATTCACTGGTGTGATAAGCTCATATGTATGTGTGTGTATTTGATCTAAACTTTTTTTTTTTACCCTTGGTCTAAATTCCATTAAGCATACTTAGTTGCATCAGGGAGAGCATTGTCACTTGAATACCTTTTGTACGTTGGAAACTAAGTCATGGACTTGTAATTTTACTTTCCCAGCTCTTATATATAACAGAGGGAAAGTATAGCGATTGATCAAAAAATGACTCCCTCCAAGATTTTTTTTGCATTTTTGGACTTGAAATCTTGAAATGTGGAGAAATGCAAAAAAATTTTGGTTTTTTTTTCCGGTGGGTGGGTACAATTTTGTTCATCCTCTTTGAAACTTAACTCCTGTGTGTTTTGTCAAAAATTTCTGAAATTTTGCAGGGAGGTTTGTGGATTAGAGTGATTGATGCTATTAATTAAATTTTGATTGTTAAAGGTCAATGGGGTGGGTGATAAAGAGGATTGTGTGTCATATCTTGAGTATGGTTGGACTTAATGATGATTTTACTCATAAAAAAATTGTAGATTCTAAGATTAAAACTCATCCCTACCCACAAAATTACTCTTTCTGCAATTTTATAATAGTAAACAATATAAAAGTTATGTTACAAAATATTGTAACAGATGGCACCACCAAAATTTTAAATGTAACTAGAAATTTAAACAATTCATTACTGGATGTTTTACATTTAAATGGATCTACATTACATTTCTAGATTCCTCGTCTCAATTTATGGAAATTAGCAAAGTTTTATCAAAATTGGTTCGTTAAATTTTGAGAACAAACTTGATTCTATAAGCCCATAGTTGTGCTAATGATTGTAAAACATCGCACAACACAGTTTTGCAATTCACACAATATTGCTTTGTCATGAGCGTTCATGAAATGGCCTTATATCTGGAAAGTCATGGACCTCCATTTTTTATTACATTTTTGAATTCCTCATCTCAATTAATGGAAAATGGCAAAGTAATTAAAATCAATTGAACAGATTTTGAGAATGAACACAATTCTGTAAGCCTCATAGAAGAGACTGTCTCTCCTATGAGGCTTACAGAATCTCTTCTAATGCTCTGTCTCAATTAATATCCCATAGGTTAATTGAGTTGTTGTTATAATCTTTTTTCAGGGTTATCATAAAAGCTTTCCAAGCATATGACAAATCAGCATCTTGTATGTTAATTAATGCACTCTCTCCTCAAGGCTGTTTTAAATATATCTAATGTCTGTAAAAATTTAGTTTCTTCTCTAGTAAAGCACTTTTTAATTAATGCTGCTTGTTCCAGTTTAGCTTCAGTTCTTAGTACTGAGGTATATATGGATAGCACTGTTGTTTTTCTTTTTCACTATGTTTATGTTCTTTAATCCTGCTTTTAAGTGATATATATTGGTGGCTCCAATGTAAATTAAATTTTTGTCAAATCTTCTAATGGTATACTATAAACTGCAGGAGCTCTTGTTCTATCTATGTATCATCATTTTGCAGAATTTGGTATATAGCATCTTTTGTAGACCAGCTCTGTTCCTCCATTTTGTGTAATTTCTTTGTATATTGGTTTGTCTCTTGTCATATGGAACATTTAGCACAAAAATATATATATATGTTTTATCAAGTACCCATGTGCCATTGCTATTCTCTTTGTGCTTAAGTNTATATATATATACACAAAGTCACCATCTTGAATTATGGTAAATTTATTTGTTGCTTATCTTTAGTCTAAATTACATATCTATATTTTTAATTTGTCAGACTATAACTTGATAATGAATTTAGTTTTATCATTTGATTAATAATAGATAACTTGAGCTTGGTTTCTTATTCACTATAAAATTGTCTTGTATTATTGAAAACACATGCATCTTAATAGTCCCTCAATTATTTGATGTAAATTCATAAAAATTAAGTATGTGAAAATGCTTGCAAAGCTAAAAATAATTGTAATGAATAATAACTATTTAATTGTAATAGAATTTTTTAAAATGTCTAATTTTTATGATTCTTCTCAGTTGTATCCAATATTATAGTTGAGAAGAATAACTAGATAAATGATAACGCAATGACGTGATTTATTTTATTTTTCTCTAGAGTCTAGACAATTGAAACAAATTGGATTTAAGGATAAACTTGACATTTTAAAATTATTCTCAATGTTGTTTGATAGTAATTGGAATTGTGTATGAATATCTGTTAAAGTAGACTTAAATTTGAAAAGAATTTATCTGCTATCTTGATTTGTTGTTGTTTTTGATATTCACAAATATCATTTTTTAAATATCATAGTATATACTTGTATGTGAAATACATGATGTAATATATTACACTATTGTATGTATTTATGAAAATAATTAAACAGAAAATCTTTATTTAAAACCCTTTTACTAAACTTTAGATTAAAGCATGAAATGTAAATAAAATGTTTTAAGTGCTTAATTTAATTCTGAATTAGTTGCATGAAAATAAAGTATAACTTTACAAAATTTAATATATGAATTGTTTTAAGGAATGTTTTGTATATTTTTCATTAATTTTACACTAATTAAACAGTGTTTTAATAGAAAATGGCAGTGCATGATATAGGCCTAGTATGACTTAGGAGTTAAAAATTTAAATCTTTATCTGCTTTTCTCTAATTATGAATTTTTTTTTCTTCTTTTGACATTACTCTATCTTCTAGCTTCATGGATCTAAAGAGCATAGTAATATAACTTCTTCAGCCCTTGCATCAGGGGTTGGATTGTTAGCAGATGCTGCAGCTTCTTCACTTTCTAGTTCAATAGTAAGTAATTATTTTAGGCATGAAAAATTTGGTAGATTTGAAATGATGCTGAAAATAGTATTTATCATATAATTATTTTACTAATGTTACTAGATCAAAATATTTTGCAAAATCTTGTTGTGAAATCCTTAAGATTTCACAAGAAGATTGTACTAATTTATAACCTATAATCCATTTTCTAATATACTGTCTTTTATAATAGGATGCTGTAAGAGTAGCTACTACTGATGACTTATTGCATTATTAATAAGAGTAACTTATTAAGCAATAATTTAGGATGTCATACTAAAGATATATTTCAGTATAATATGAAAGATGTTTTTATTTTAAAATAATGAATAAATATTTCTTTTATGCTGCTAGATGAAAAGAACTTTTAAATAAGTAATCTTTTTGATTTGTAATTTGTTATTCTAACATTAATGGTAAGTATTTCACTTCCTATTGATGATTTTAGAAACTAAACAATCTAGATTACTTGAATAATTAAAGAAATAGGGAAAAAATGCTTAGTAGTATTCAAATCAATAATCTGTCAATGCAGTAACAAGCATCATCCACTTCCCTACATAAAAGCTGCTTCCAAGCTGATTATCAAATGGAAAACTTTTTGTATAATGTTGCTTACATAGTTGAAATTAGGATGGCTTAGTGTATTGTTTACGTTGCCTTGAAAAATCATATATTTTGAATAACTTGTTGACAGCATGATATCTAAAATGATTATAAAAGCAATCTTTGTTGCAGTTGAACAGGCTTAAGTTGTAGATAGGATAATTGAATCAGCAGCTACATAAGTTGATTGTTCTGAACATACCCATTGTTATGTTCAGAACAATCAGTTATGTTTTTGTTTTTAAAGAATTCTAGTTACTTTTTCAGCTATTTTCAGTCTCATCTGCTACTTGCAACCCTGTAATACTCTATTACTTAGTGCAATTTAATTTTTTTTAACCGACCAGCTTATGTAGACTTCTTGGAATGATATCATATGGACTGACTACTTTACCATTTTGTTTTCATTTCAATGTGTAAATTTTTAAAATTGTTTTTAATGATTCTTTGTTTAAATTCTTTATTTTGCATGCATTTTTTGATTTTAAATTACCTATTGAAAAATGATAAATTTACATTTTATACTTTAAAAACAAATTTTTAAGATAATTTTAATGTTTTAAAACTGAAATGGTGATAATTTTTTAATAAAAGCTTTATTGAATGAATTAGCTTTTAAATTTTAATATAATTATTTTCTTTAGTTTTTATTATTTATGATGCAATTATGCAATTTGAAGGAAAAACTAATAATAAAAGTAGCAATTCTAAGCAATGAATTATTACTGTAGTTTTATATTTGATAAGCTTTGATTTAGAAAATAATTGGTGTGTAATTATATATGACTTTGTTAATAGAATAAACTTGAGTTTTATTTAATTAGGTTGCCACATTAGAATACAAAATTTGTGATAGATGATACTGCCATAAGATATTTATCACAATGTATCAATAATATATCATTTTAATAATAATAATTGTATTTATTAATATTAGTTTCACTTGTTTTATAATAATTTTTTATTTAATTTTCTTAAAAATTGGTATTATATTAATATATTTCAGTGGTTCTCAACTGACTTACTGTGGAAGGCTGGTGTACTGCAAATTTCTTTTGAGGAATGCCACAAAATTTTAAAAAATTTGTCAAAAAAAAGTAGAAAAAAAAAAAGAATTTTAATATTTGTGTATTTTATATAAAAAGTGCTGATCTTCAATATCATGTTTTTCATTTATACACACAGGCATTTCTGATGAGAGACTTATTGGTGTGCTATCAAATTGTCACTAGCTCAAAAGCAGGTTAAGAACCATTGATGCATTGCATATTATTATTGATTTATCTTAATTTACAGTTAGTACTCTGGAGTTTTAAAACCTCTTAAATTTAATGCATTTATTTCAAATTTTATGTTTTCAAATGTTAGAAATAATTATTATACTTATAAAAATTTATCACTTTTTATATGGGTAGGTATAAATTTTTTCACTTAGATTTCTAGACGTGTTGCATTAAATTGATTTTCTGTTTACCAATATATTAGGAGTAATGTAATTATTAGTAAAAAAAAATGTATTTAACCACTTAACAATTGACAACCTCTTTTAGTTTTTAATATTTAAAACAAATATATAATTTTAATTCAAATTCTAATTATTGTTAAAAACATTTTTGCTTAAGATAATTAGGAAGCTTACAATATAATTAAAATTATTAATCATAAAATACTTACATATATATATATATATATATATATTACAAAACTTACTACTACTACTACTACTACTACTACTACTACTACTAAATAAATCAAACCACTGCTTAATTCTTTTAACACATTAAGTGCCACAATAGTGGGTCATAAAATATCATCCTGGGCCACGATCTGTTAAAAAAAAATGGCACAAATGATGGCTATTTAATATAATTTTATCTGCATTGTTGAAGAACATTTTTTTTCTCATTTTTTGGAATATTGCAACATGTGCCCCGGATGATTTTTTTCCTGATCATGTTATGCCAGGCATGGCCAACATATGCCCCGTCTAATGAATTTGTGGCCCACGATTCATTTGTCAATATCAGCCACTTAAGTCTGAATATCTCGATGAAAAGTTCTGACGGCTAAAAAAAAAAAACAGGTCAACAAGTAACTGTGCGATTAGAGTTAACGCTCAATTACAAATGTCTTCAGCACAGCGTAGAATGTTGATAATGCATGATAATGTGAAAAATGTATCTGTAATCTCTATGTACAATTCAGTTTCTATGGGGTGATACCACAATGAGATCTCACACCACCTCAAAATCTTGCTAGGGCAGCCTCTGGTTCAGCCCATGAAAAGTTTTCTTTCCAATTCGGCCCAGGGACAAAAACTGTTGGCCACCCCTGTGTTATGCCATTATGCATTTTATATGCTCAACAGCTTTTGAATTCCTATTAGTATTCTATCATAAAAAATTTACTGGGCCAACTGCAATTTCTATTCCCACAGGCCATGCTTTAACTATTTTTATTAACTAAACATGTTGCTTCAAATTAACACAGCTCAGATTTCAGTGTGTAGTGTTTTTTTTTTTCATTTCTGTAATACACAGCCCAGGAAAATTACTGGGTATGTTGCAAATATGCAATATATCCAGCAATATTTTGTTATATTTAAGCACCATGTGTTGCAAATATTTTGCAACACATGGTGTTTAAATGTGTTGACTGAAAATATTTATTTTATTAAATGTCAGATCACCTTCAACTTAGATCAACTTGTTTACATTATTCTAAACTGTTAATATGTAACTGAAATTAAAACAAAATTCAAAATTATTCAAAACAATTACAAAAAATAATTTTGAAAATTATTAAGAAATACAGAAGAGATTTTGATGATATGAAACCGTGCTTTGCAATTTGTTTATGCTTCTAACACAATAAAGTGCTATAAATTAAGACACTTGGCGGATTTTCTCATCTTTATTTAGTTGATACGTGTGAAAAAGTTACACGTTTCGGGCTCTTAAGCCCCTCTTCAGCCAACTAAAACATTTAAAAAAGGATATAACATACACATAAAAAAGAATACACAAGTTTTGTAAAATTCTTAAAAATATAAAACATACCTATCCATACAAGTCTTATAAATTGAAGTAACAGCTTACTCTCAATATTTTCTCAGTAACATCAGCTTATTCACAGTATTTTTTCCCCTTCAGCCAACTATAATATTAGGGGAGTATACAACATATCTATACAAACTATACATAAGTTTTATAGAATCTGTAAAACTATCTTCAATTAAGGCATACCTTGAGTATGGCTGTTGTTAAGGCTGTACACAATTGATTATACCTTTTACTTATAAAACAGTCCCACAAAATTCTTGATCTAAAACATACCTTGGACAACAATTATCAAATTGGTATACAATTGATTATGCTTTCCACTCATAAATCTGTTTTACTAAATCCTTATTTTCTTTGATACGCATTGACAATATAATACGAATTTACATAACTTCTACAATATAAATTTACATATCTGACATCTACTATATTTTTACAATATATGATTGTTGATTTATTTAACATTACAGTATTTAATATTATAGATTATTATATGAACTAATGACATTACAATGTCTTGAGGTTGGTAAACAGGATTAACATTTAATATAAATTTACATATTATTTGATTCCCGTTACAACATTACAGTTTTTTGTTATTGTTGATTTATGTAACAGTTCAATCGTTATTATTAATTAGCACATTGATCACAATAATAATAGTTTGAATCTAGTGAATACAATTAATATAAAATTTTTAACCAGTTTTCGTTTATTGAGATGCTAGGATTTTTATTTATACTATTTTGATTTTTGATTATTTCTATACTTTCTTTGAATTTTCTTTTGTATGTATCTCTTTCTCTGTGTAAGATATCTATATTATTTTTGTCTATATTACAATTATTCAAAAGGCAGTGTTCATGAAAAGCAGAATTTAGTCTACGATATTTCAAATCGGCTATATGTTCTTTCAATCTTACTTTAACTTTACGTTTAGTTTCACCTATATAAAATTTTTTTTCGCATGTACACGGAATGTTATAGACTACATTTTTACTTTCTTCTTTATTTGTTATATTTGTTTTGTTAACTTGTTTTGCATTTAATCTGGAGAGTAGCTTATCATATGTTGGTACTAGTTGTACATTAATTTTTTTGACTTCCTTATTAACCTCTTCGTATAAACCTTTTATGTATGGGAAACTAATGTATCTTATTTCTGCTTGTTTAGGATCTATTCTTATTGTTTTATCTGTTTTTTTATCTATTTCTGTTTCCCAAATATTAAGGATTCTGTTTGGGTATCCTGAAAGAATAAATTTTTTCTTTAGCGTATTTAAATGTTCGATTTGTTTAGTATTTATACTACTGTAGTTCTAT